GGCTTCTCTCCCGAATGAGTCCGGTAGTGTACAGTGAGATAAGACAGCCGTGAGAAGAATTTCCCACACTCGTTACATTCGTAGGGCTTCTCTCCGGTGTGCGTCCTCTGATGTGTGGTGAGTGTAGACTTGCGGCAGAAGCACTTCCCACATTCATTACACTTGTAGAGTTTCACGCCCGTGTGGATTTTCTGATGGTCGTTAAGTGCTGACTTCTGGGAGAAGGTTTTTCCACAGTCGTGACAAACATAGGGTCTCTCTCCTGAATGTGTTCTCTGGTGTTGTGTGAGGTGTGTCTTCTGGCAAAAGGATTTTCCACAGTAGCTACATTCATAGGGCTTCTCTCCTGAGTGAGTTCTCTGATGTTGAATGAGGTGTAACTTCTGGTAGAAGGTTTTTCCACATTCGTTACATTCGTAGGGCTTCTCCCCTGTGTGTGTGCGCTGATGGACAGTGAGGGTCCCCTTCTGGCAGAAGGATTTCCCACACTGATTACATTCATAAGGTTTCTCTCCTGTGTGAGTCCTCTGATGGATGATAAACTTTGACTTTTTACAGAAGGATTTCCCGCATGCACTGCATTCATAGGGCTTCAATTCCATATGAGACCTCTGGTGTACGCTGAGGTTGGACATTTGCAGAAAGGCTATTTCAGATTCATTCCACTTATAGGGCTTCTCCTCCATGTGATTAACAAAAACTGCATCTTTCTGACATTCAATATATTCAAAGGGTTTCTCCAAAATATGAATGTTCTGATAAATACTTTCTTCATTTAGACTATAACCTTCCCCATTTTGATTAAATTCGTAAGATTCATCTCCTGGATGAGTTTTCTCAAGTTTAACGTGGGGAAGTGGTTTCCCACACGCACTACATTCATCGGGCTTCATTCTTGCATAGCTTCCATCACTACTAATATATTCTGAAATAGATTTCAAACTCTTTTCACATGAGTCACATTTATAGGACATTTTTCTTGAAGGAATGGGGTTCGTTTCCACATTAAAAGTCTTACCAAGACCATTACCTCTCTCTTCAATCAGGGTTTTGTTGTTGATGGATACAGCTTGCCTTGAATATTTGCCTTCATTTTCCTGGACTCTTTCTCCCAGATCATTGGCTTTCCAGACTTCTTCTAAAAAGAAGCAAAATTAACAAAATTTTGTATATCTTCCTACGTAAGACATGGAAGGTGACTTACATGTAAGCATTTCATTTTAGTGTAGATGCTAGCTCCATGGACAGATGAAAATAATTCCCAGTGTACTTCCTTCCCCTATTGTTATGGTTTGGAATAAACACATGCACGCACGTGCACACACAGACACAGACACACACACACCTCTGAGGTGAGGAAAGGGGAAAAACACAAGCACCTCTGATCTTTGCTACTTTGTAAGATTTTGTCCAAACCGGGCATAGATAGTAAGATATACACATGGAGCAGTGATGGGAAGACAGAGGATGGTGGATGAACAGCTAACACGCAGATATGGAAGGACTCACAGCAAACGGGGTGCACGAAGGGCAACACGGAGCAGCGTGGGGCGGAGGGGTGCACAGGTATCCGGGACGACCAGGTGTGGGGGAGGGGACCAGCACTTTGCACCACACCACTGCACAGCGAGTTGGGAGAGGCAACTACGGTCTCAGGCACCATCACCTTTTACTGAGATTTTTGTGGCAACGTTCTCATGGGCCTAGATCCTTCCAAACTATTTTGCCCAGATTCTGCACAGCAGGGCCAAATCCGCTCACACCCAAACCTCCTCCTGTTTAGAGGAGCAGCCGTGTGGCCAGGGCTCTAACTCCCTGTGGTTCTGTGTCACATGGGAGGAGAGCCCCAGGAACTCCGTATGTGCAACAGGAAGGATAAAACAGACCAGAGCACACTAGCCCTTCAGAAGTTTACAATTTCAGGGGCACCTGGGTGGCTCAGATGGTAGAGCATCTGCCTTCGGCTCGGGTCATGATCCCAGGGTCCTGGGATCGAGCCCCACGTCTGGCTCCTGGCTCAGCGGGGAGCCTGCTTCTCCCTCTGCCTCTCCCCCGCTCGTGCTCTCTCTCTCTCTCTCTGTATCTCTGTGTCTCGAATGAATAAATAAAAAATCTTAAAAAAAAAAAAGTTTATGATTCCATAAATACTCTCTGATATTATGATTTAACCTGAAGTCAGACCACGGAACTCTGTTTCTCTCTGGACAATACAGCATGTGCTCTGGCTACCTGGGGGAGTCCCTACGTCGCCCGTTGCTCAGCATCACCCACAGGTGGCGCAAAGACAACGGTACCCACGTTATAGGGTCGCCGTGGGATGACATAAATTCATAAAGTGCTCTGAGCAGCCTCTGGCACAAAACGCAGGCTCAGTAACGCAGCCGCTAGTTTTCCCATTTTCAGTCTCCCGCCGATTTCCTTAAATGAGTCCTGCCTCCGACACAGTGCTGTCACTTCATTCTGTGAACAGGCTTCATCACTCCTGAGTTTCACTTGGTTTCATTTTCACTTACAAACCTTACAAATCAGATCCCCTAAACTGCTCTTTATTTTTACTTCCAAGTTTTTAGATGAACTTGACTATTGTACTCGCTGTCCTCCCCAAACTACTGCTTCCCGAGTCCACTGCCAAAATGTCGACAGATAAAATGGGAAACATCTGATAAAGAACACTTTCCACCTGGATTCATAGTATGGTTCCAAACTGGGTTTATATTAGTCTATGAAGAATAATTTCTGCTCTAGGAAAACCAAGCTATTTGTCGGGCAAACAATGTCATCTGATACACCCAAGGGGGGGCTCGGGTGTGCAGGAGGGGACCAGCACTCAGCGTTACATCGCTTCGCAGCAAGTTGGGAAACATGGATTCCCGCCCCAGGCACCACAGGCATCTTCTGAGATCGCTGTGGTGCCCACAACGCCCAAGCTCACTTTCAAAGTCTGCGCTCTTACTGCTTTATCCAGTTCACTTGACCTCCAGCCCTGATCTACTCAAAACCCCTCAGGGAATCTCCGTGTTTAAACACAAAAAACGAAAACTTCTTAAATCCTTCCTCACTTCAATTAGCTCCATTTCCCCTGAAAAAGCTGAAAATAATTACCCCCCATACAATGACTTTAGCACAGTGGTTCAGCCATGCCTCGGATCATCAACAGTCCATATGAAGGCAGAGTTTTAAATTGTACCATGCAACTCTCTTCTCTTTTCTTAACCAAATCCTGTTTCTTAGAAAGTATGACTCTCTTCCCTATTTTCTTTGAACCCCCGAAGAGAAATCAAAGCTGTTGCTCTTCATCTGAATCCTATGGGTATCTTTCATGCACCTGCAGAGTAAATGGGGATGTGACCCAGGCATGCGTATACAGATCTGCTTATAAATTATTTCTCAACAGACGGACAAGAATGTTCTTTCACCTACCTGGCGCCTCAGATACTCAAGTGCAGACTACACATTACATACTAAGGAAGGGAAAACACATTACATACTAAGGTAAGGGAGAACACATTACATACTGATCTGGAGAAGAAAGAAGCTCAAGGGTGCCTGAGTGGCTCAGTCAGTTAAGCGGCTGCCTTCAGCTCAGGTCATGATCCCAGGGTCCTGGGATCGAGTCCTGCATCAGGCTCCCTGCTCAGGGGGGAATCTGCTTCTCCCTCTGCCCCTCCCCCTACTCATGTGCTCTCTCTCTCTCTCTCTCCCTCTCCAATAAATAAAATCTTAAAAAAAAAAAAAAAGCTGAAGCAAAAAATATATCCTGCCAAATAACAGATTACTTGATCAAACCTAATTTTTTTCAAGGTATGGCCATGAGGCAGAGTCACTTAGAGAGAAGGAGCAGACTGAAAGAATGATAAGAGCTAAAAGGAAAAACTTCAAAGAGGGGTGGAAAAACTTCAAGGAGGGGTGGAAAAACTGGGCTCAGACTGGAAGAACGTGTTGCTATCTGACAAAGAGAGCCGGCCCCCCTGAAATAAAGTGACGGGGACAATAACCACAAGAACAGAAGACATTTAGGAGCGAGGACCCCGTGGAGTGTAGCAAGAGTTGTGGAAAACCACAGAACATTGATTTTCCAGGCAGCACAGGGAAGAGGAGGGATGTACACTCCCTCAGGAAGCAGCAGGGAATCACCGAAGGCTCCTCCTGGGCCACCTGTGAGATCAACTGGAAACTTCGAGGAACCCATCTTGCAAGTGCACTTAGCGTGAGGGGCCACAGGGCAGCTACCATGGGAGATGCCGTACAGGAGGACAGGGATGGTAAAGCATAAAAAAACAGGCAAACAACAACCCTAAGGACAGAGGTCAGAGGAGCCCTGAGAAGAAATCAGGAACTAGAATCCACCAAAGGTGGAAGCAGACCCTTCAGAGACACTTTCTGGAGGGTGGAGGGAAAGAACCTCACTCCTGTGCACCTCACTCACTGAGCACCTGACGTGACAGGACGCTGGGCAAGCGCTGGGACCGAACGGTGAGTAAGAGACAAGGTGGACATGAGTATCGGGGACAGGCGGGAGACCCAGACACTGCTGTCACCAGACGTAAGACGGGGCTGGATCGTGAGAAGGATGAGCAGCACACAGACCACAGGTGAACCGAACTCACTGGCTCAGGCACAGGCTGGGGTTTGGAATCTGACCTCGGAAAAGGGAGATGTGAAACCAGGGACAGAAACCAGCCCGAGGCATTTCACAGAAAAGAGGAAGAAAAAAGGAAGGTGGCAAGAACCGAAGAGTCCCATCAGTTACTTTTCAATTACAGACTTACGAAGGCCTAAGAACTGAAAGAACCCACGACAACGGGATGGCTGGAAATGCCGTGGGGGCAAGCGTGGGGCAAGCGTGGGGCGAAGCGTGGGGGAGGAAGGAAGTGACGGGGGGGGGGGCTCTGGGGAGAGAAAAGCGTGGCAACACTCTGCAAACACAGGTTCTTGTGAGGAAGGAAGAAGGCGCTGGGAGTGGGACTCGGGTAGCTGGGGCACACGGGTGACTGCCTGTAGTCCCTTTTGCAGGTTTCCCGTTAGCGATTCCTGGGAAAAACTTCCAAGTTACCAGTCTCCGCACTGCCCGCACGCACACACACCTGGGTAACTCTGCGGAAGGAATGCTCCTTCTACTATCCATGGCTCTTCTCCTTGCTCCAACTTGATGATAACTTCCGGTTTGATAATGTGACAGCCTGTTAACAGAAACGAAAGAGAACTTGAGCCTGACTGCTGGGCTGCTGGGTCTCTATCGTCTGAGGTCGGTGCTGCCTCACGACCAGCACCACAATTGGAACCTTTCACTGGGGAGGTGAAGACCAAAATGGTGCCCAAACAGACCACTCACATTTGTCCCATCAAACTCAAAGTTAGACTCAGTAACATTTGAGGGAAACCCCATGTATCCTAGCAATCGAGAAAGCAGGCTCTCCTCACCCACGGAGACGAGATGGCTGTAGTTCTCCAGCATCACATCCCGGTACGTGGTCTTCTGCTCGGGCTCCAGCTGCTGCCACTCCTCCTGGGTGAAGTCCACGGCCACGTCCCTGAATGACACTGGCCCCTGGAACGGCACCAGATCGGAACTGGATGAGGTGAAGACGGACGAGGACAAGAGCTTACCAAGCTCCCAGTCAAGTTAACTATAAACATGTGTACCTTCTTCATTGTGGGAAGAAAATGAACATTCCAGAAATACGCCAGGATGAGTTCATTTGGCACACACAGTCTTGCACTATGAGCCAGGAACAAGCGTGGCTGCTGGGGACACTAAGACCAGCAGACGCAGCGCAGCTCCGGCCCAAGAAGTGCAGGCCTGAGGGGCACTCACAGAAACACAGGATGCACTTTGCTCCTTTTTGCTTCCAGAACTTTACCAATATTGGCTCTCCTCTGACCTCTCCCACTGCTCCTTCTCCTTTGCTGGCTCCCCTGTTCTCCAAGGCATCCTCAAGTTAGAGGGCCCGGGGCTCTGTTTTTGGTCCTTTACTCTTTGCCGTCTGCACCCTGCTGTGATCCCACCAGACCTCATGGCTTTAATGCCCAGCTATGTGTCAGCATGTCCCAAACGTATACGAGCCACCGAGACTTCTCTCCTAAACTCCAGACATGTCCCAGATCCAAACTCAACAGGCTGAAATTCAATCACTATCTCTGTTCACACTGTTCCTGCTCCGCTTACAGAAGGAGCTGACCCATGGTGCCGGCCACAAGGGCCAAAGCAACAAGCCTGGCGACGGACCCCCAGCCGTGCGTGTTACTGCCCGGTAAGCCTACCCAGTCTGACCACGGCTGCCGCGTGAACTGTCGTAACGGCGTGGTTCGGCTGTCCCTAATTCCCAGCCGGGTAACTCGGAATCCCCCTTCTTCCCATTTACACATTCCAGGAGGGCAGGAGCATGGTCCCGAAGAGGGGCAAACAGCTCACAACAGACCCAGAAACTGCCCAAACCAAACCTTTAAACGTGGATCTTCTGAATAAACCGCCCCACTCAAATACACCAATCATCACCACTGTCCCGCTGTATCACTACCTCTAAAATAAAGGTAATGGTGGAGCCGATCAGGTCATGTAATACCAGCATCAAATGGGCTAATCCATGGAAAGCACTTAGCAAAGTTCTCTGGACATTAAGACACACTTCTCAATGACACCTGTGTATTACTGGTTGACCATCCCTTATGCGTCTTATCACTCTTTCCAAATAAGGACAGAAAGTAATCAGAAAAAACAGAAGTGTAAGTAACTAAACGTAATGTAGCTGTCAAGTTTATGCAATTGCCGAGGAAAAGTTGTTTTTTTTTTTTTTTTTTTAAAGATTTATTTATTTGACACAGAGAGACCGCTAGAGAGGGAACACAAGCAGGGGG